TATGACCAACATGAGAGAGATATGTTGCCTTCCAACTTCGCAAATTGGATTGTACCTTCTCTATGTCCATAACCAATTTTGAATTTTATTTACACTCTTTGTTGGACATAAAGATAAAGGTGAAATTTGGGCGGGCTCAACCTACACTTTTACACGGCCTAGGCCTAGATTTTTGTCGTTAGACTGAGTTGGGCCCAAAAGTTGAGGTTTTTATACTTTTTTTTTGGACATGATTTGAATTGGTCAATCAGCGTGTACAATAAAAACTATTATAAATGTGTGTGAATGTGTATGGTTTAAAAAAATAGAGTATATATATATATATATATATATATTGCAGAGAGCCGGACAGAACTATTTTCATCTAGGGGAGATGTAACTTATATTGCAGAGAGCCGGACAGAATTACATCTCCAAGTCCCAGTCTTTTCTATTCGAATCAGATTTGCAGCGGCAACTTCTATTCCATCAACACCGGTTATTCCAGCAACAAGAGAGATCCGGGGAAAGCGAAGCCAAGAAGATCGTCTTCAATCGCTGCGGATTCTGATTCACTTCCTTATAGAGCACGTTAGGTTGTGCTGAGTCAAATTTGCTCTGCGAAAGAGATCCCTTACCCCCACTTTCTCGTCAATCTAATGCTTTCTCTCTCCGATTGTTAAATGGAAGCAATTTGACTTTGTCACCAAGCATTTGAACTCAGGAGTCGGGGAACAAAAAAGCCCGTCTCAGCGATTTCACAACTATATACTAGGAGCTTCAACAACTGGTTTCATGGCGTGTCAAGGTCACATGGAGCAATTGGAAGCATCAACAGACGGGTGGCTGCAGGTACTATGGATCCTCTGACTCCCAATCGGGTTGCCTTCGCAGGTCTCGCCGGTGTTGCCTGTAGGTCGTGATGTGMCTCGAGATGGCCGTCTCCTGTCCCCTGAGAAATTTCGACCCCTCCATATTTCTTATCATGTATATATACAAGTCGATCGGAGTTCTTGCTCCTTTCTAAAATCCAACTCCTAACCGAAAAATTTATAAAATTTTGAATCTTCTAAAACATCTAAATCCTATCTGTATAGGAAGTATACAAATCCGGGATCTCCTTGGTCTCTCGTGAGTCTTATCGCCTTATCTTCGTCCAATACTCCCCCTCAAGGTGGTGCATGAGGATTGCGAATGCCCAATTTGGGAAGAAAACAATCAAACTGTTTTTGTTCGAGAGCCTTTGTGAAAATGTCAGCAACTTGTTCACCGGTACGTATATAGGAAGGTGCAATGGTGCCGGCTTGGATCTCATTACGAATGAAATGACAATCAACTTTAATATGTTTGGTTCACTCATGAAAGGCAGGGTTCGCAGCAATGTGCAGAACAACTTGATTGTCGCAAAACAAGCGTATAGGTTGAGGATGAGGTATACCCAAAGACGACAACAAACCTTTTAGCCACTTCAACTCGCAGCTGACAGTAGCCATTGACCGGTATTCAGCCTCGGCAGAGGAACGAGAGACAGTATGTTGTTTCTTAGTCTTCCAGGAGATGGGGGAATGTCCTAACATGACAAAATGCCTAGTAAGAGAGCGACGAGTTAGAGGACAACTCGCCCAGTCGGAATCACAATAGGCATATAATTGTAGATCACTATCACAGTGCAAAAATATTCCTTGACCAGGACGGCCTTTTAGATACCGAACTACCCACAATGCCGCATCCCAATGATCAACATGAGGACATTGCATAAATTGAGTCAGGACATGGATGCAATAACTGAGCTCCGGCCGTGTAATGGTTAAATAAATCAAACGTCCCACAAGACGTCGATAGCGTTCAGGGTCATCCTGGAGTGCTCCGTCAGCAAGGGCAAGTTTATGATTCTGAGTAATAAGAAAGTGAGCAGGTTTGGACCCTAATAAGCCAGCTTCTGTAATAATATCAAGTGCATATTTTCTTTGGCAAAGAAATATCCCCGATGATCCGTGAGTCACTTCGATGCCCAAAAATATTTAAGAACACCCAAGTCCTTCATGTGAAAACACCGGTTCATATACTGTTTAAATTTGCGTATGAACTCCTGGTTATTCCCACCAACGATTAAGTCATCAACATAAATCAGAACGTGCAAGACAACCCCATTCTTGCGATATGTAAATAAGGAATAACCGAAGTAGGACTGTTCAAACCAAAAGGTTTTCAAGGCAACACCCAACTTAGAGAACTAGTTTCGGGGGGCTTGCCGTAGACCATACAAAGATTTTCGGAGTTTGCATACCTTTCCAGTCCCGGAGGCTGAAAAACCTGGAGGAGGTTTCATATAGACCTCCTCATGGAGATCATTGTGTAGAAAAGCATTGTGGACATCCATCTGATGCAATTCCCAATGTTGGGCCGCAACAACTGCTGAGAAGGTTCGAACTGTGACCATTTTAGCCACAGGGGCAAAGGTTTCATTGTAATCAAGACCTTCAACTTGAGTGTTGCCCAGGACTACCAACCGTGCTTTAAATCTTTCAATGGATCCATCAGAGTTGTACTTAATTTTGTAGACCCGTTTACACCCGATTGCCTTTTTTTCCAGGTGGGAGGTCTTCCAAGGTCCATGTCCCATTGTCTTCCAAAGCTTGTATCTCTTGGCGCATAGCCTCGCGCCACCGAGCGTCAGTTATTGCCTCAGAGAAATGAGTAGGTTCTCGGCCTACAGTAATAGCTGCCAAGAAATGTCTGTGTTTCACAGAAAAATTATCATACGTCACATAATGAGTTGTGGGATAAGGAGTACCTGAGGACTTAGTTGATGCAGGAGAAACGGCGGAGGGGTCTAATCAACGAGCTGAGTGTGTGACAAAGTCCTGCAAATAGCTGGGGGTCCGCTTTTCTCGATGTCCACGGCCTAACAACTCCGTGGTGGGCTGAGGAGCAGCTGGAGTTTCCGTGGTGGGCTGAGGAGCAGCTGGAGTTTCATTATCTCTGTAATCTGTATGGCTCCTTGTCTCATCAAGGGGACCTGCCTCCTCATCATTACCCGTGTTCGGATGTCCTTCTTCATCGATCGTGTCGCTCCCCCTGACTTCTATATGAGGTGACTCAGATACCCTGTCAGGAGGAGTGGCCCAAGGCAACCCAATATTTTCTTTGACTACGGGAGGACTGGTTACAGAGGGTGGATGTTTTAGAGTGGCAAAGGGAAACTCGGCCTCACTAAACACCATGTCTCGTGAGACGAAGTAATCACCAGACTCAAGGTTGTACAATTTCCACCCCTTTTTCCCAAAAGGTTACCCAACAAATACACATTTCCTACTCCTAGCGGCAAACTTGTCATGGTCCCTAGTATGCGAGAAACATAAGCAACCAAAAACTCTGAGATGTTTATAAGGAGGACTTTGTCCAAATAGCATCTCGTAAGGTGTTTTACCACTAAGAAGGATCGAAGGTGTCCGGTTAATCAGGTATCCTGCGGTCAAAACACACTCACCCCAGAAATTGATCGAAAGATGTGTTTGAAACCTGAGTGCTCTGGCTACATTCAAAATATGACGATGCTTTCTCTCCACACGACCATTTTGTTGTGGTGTCCCAACACAGGAAGTTTGAAATAAAATTCCTTGCTTATCAAAATATGACTTCAAGGATTTAAACTTTGTTCCATTATCATTTCTTACCACCTTAACTTTCTTATTAAATTGTCGTTCAATCATGATACATAAATTTTTGAGTGTTCTACCAACTTCATTTTTTTCAGCCAGTAAATAAATCCAAACCGCTCGAGAATAATCATCAACAATCGTCAGAAAATATACCGCACCACAAGATGCAGGTACTCTATAAGCACCCCATAAGTCACAATGAATCAAAGCAAAACAATCGGTCACTTTATTGCTGCTTTGAATAAAAACATCTCTAGTTTGCTTTGCCTTCAAACAAACATCACAGGTTTTGTTCTTACTATTACTAATATTAAGAAACGAACTAACCGTTTGATAAGAAGGGTGTCTCAATCTCCAATGCCACAAATCGCATGATCCAAGTCCATCTGTCTTGTAAGCACGAACCGGCGCCACACCCTTGAAGACATAGACCCTATCAAGCTGTTCACCCGCACCAATCAGAGTCCACGAGATGCGGTTCTGTATCACACATAACTTATTAGTAAATGTCACAATACAATCTGTGTCATGAAGTAACCGACCTACTAACAATAAATTACAATTGAGTTTTGGGACATATAATACGTACAATAATTTAAAATTATTTCCAAGTTCAATAGTGCCTTCTTTCACGGCCTCGGTGTGCGCACCGTTGGGTAAGCTAACAGGACAAGGTGCAACATCATAGGTGTCGACGAGCACATTTAAATTCCCTGTCATGTGATGTGACGTCCCAAAGTCAACAATCCATTCAGTGGAGTAATTCTTATTGGAGAGTTTTTCATTAGTCCTCGTTTTGTAAGCATTAAGCATGCTTACAAGAGTCTGCCATTGCTCGTCATTAAGCCCGTTCAGTTTAGTCCTGTCTTCGTCAGTCACAACTGCATTAGCAGCCACCTCACGCCCCGCTGATGACTGAACAGTATGAGCCTTCGCCGTACCTCGGCCACATCCGCCAGAGGGTCCAACAGACTTACTCGAGCTCTCACCGTTCCTGTCGTTGTTGACATCCATGGTGACCGATCAGCAAGACTAGTCAGCAATAATATCAAGGAGAAAACACGGCGCACGAACAAGCAAATCACCGCCGTAGTCTTATTATCCTCTGAATCGTCGACTGGCAGGAACGAACTTGGAGCTTCGGCTGCTGATGCTGCTGCTCTTTTTGCTAATTAAAATTTTCGACAGGAAAGTCACAGTTTTCTTCCAACTGCTCAACTTTAGGAAACATGTCTGTATCAGCCCGTCCGCTACCTGATACAGAGTCAAGGTTGGTGCTTTCATGAACAACGATCTCTGGTGTTTGAGTTGTCGGATCTTCTTCGGCGACAACAACAGCCACAATAGGAACAAACAGTAATGGCCAGAGGTGCGTCACAGTCTCAGGCTTCGTCTTCAACGTCTGGTCGGGCGGGGTTCGTCGGCATAGTGCCGCGTGGATCTGCCGCAGTGGCAGCAGGGATGCGGCGCCAGAGAGTTGGAGCCAGCGATGGAGGCGGATCCGGTGGGAGCGGAAGCAATATGGTGGGGTTCTACACCGTTGACGCCCCTGGCTTGAAGTTCTCCCCTACTGTCGTCCTTGTTAAGAGTTGGAGCCAGCGGTGGAGGCGGATCCGGCGGGTTTGGTGGTGGCGGAGCGGAAGCAATATGTTGGGGTTCTACACCGACGACGCCCCTGGCTTGAAGTTCATCCCTACTGTCGTCCTCGTTAAGAGCCTCTGCTTCATCGGCTTCGTTACCGCTCTGATACCATAAGAAAAATTTCGAAGTCCCAAGTTGCGCCCCCTCCATATTTCTTTTCATGTATATATACAAGTCGATCGGAGTTCATGCTCCTTTCTAAAATTCAACTCCTAATCCAAAAGGAAATACAAATGATGAAGGGAAATTTGGCCCGACCTCGTAATCACCCGACACGTGGCAAAAGCAAACAACTCGGGACAATGGAGTGCCCAAAACGAGCACCAAAAGTAACGAAGTCCAAGCTCACTACCGAGCCCGAACTCCAGACCGCTAGGAGTCCGAGCTCCCTACTGGGAGTCCGAGCTCCCTATTAAGAGCGAGCTCCCTATTAAGAGTCCGAGCTCCCTAATAAGAACT